TCCTCACTGGTACCTGAAACACATAACACAAAACACTGTAAGCATAAATGATTAGTGAGTTCCCCAAAATACCACATATAACACATATTAGCCACTCTAGGCTATAACTCTGTGGACCCTCTGGTCCTAACTCTATGAACCTTCCGGTTCTAACTCTGTAAACTCTAGAACATACACGGCATAAATCACATAGAAATAATGCAGTGCAACACATCACATACATAACACACGATATACTCTGTCACATAACTCTAATTACCACTCAAGGTAAAGTATAGTGAGAAGACTCACCTCGGGTGTCTCGAATAATCTTGCACACGAAAACACTAATCTAGCCCCCGCCTAATCACATAAACAGTACTCTCAAATAAATAATGGCTCTCAAAGGCTAGATTAAATCCATTCTTACAATCCCACGGAAGGGTAAAAGACCATTTTACCCCTCCCTGACCCAAAAGTCAAAATGTTGACCAAAACCCTAAAAGTCAACGAAAGTCAACAGGAGGCAGTACGCGGCGCGTACCATCTTTGTACGCGGGGCGTACGCCGGCGATCCATAATCGGGGTCTCAACCCCTTACACTGTGTGTTCTGAGAGTTACGCCCATCGTAAGTCTCAGTTTCAGCCTTTCTTGGATTTTGGTCTTAAACGGTTAAGACATAAACTCAAACTCCAGATCTGACTTCTCTAAGACCACTTAATCCATAAAGTCGAGACCTTTAAGCCTTTGCATGTCTGTAAAGGTTCCTAATCACTCTAACACCTTTCCTTCTTCCTCATAAGGTCTAGATCTCATGCATGGCTCAATATTCACGTCCAAGATTGGATTTTTATGAACATACAACTCATATTACCCTGAAATATGGCAGATCTAGACCAATGGAGACCATTTGCTCATAAAGTCTCCACCTTGGGACCAAAAACCCTAAAAATTGGTCCAAGAAGCACAAATCACAAATGACAAGGAAAGCTTTGAGCTTTTTACCTCAGAAAGAAGCTCCAACCTCTGTAGAACTCGGATCTACTCTTGTCCACCAACTTCTAGCTCCTAAAATGGCCTCCTCTTCTCTTTCACCACCTTAAAATAGCACTTTAAAGCTTAGAACACACACACAAGCTAGGAACGAATGGTAGCTCTCTATTAGGGTTTCACTCTCTGAAATGGTGGCTGAGGATAAGGCCTTAACATTCCTTTTATAGTGTAAAAGCCACAAATTAGGGTTTGCATCTGGGCCCGCTACGCCCAGCGTAACCCTGGGTACGCCCAACGTACCTAGGCGAGTCCGCGTCCAACTTAAGCGCATGAGTACGCGCAGCGTACTCTTCAGTACGCCCAGCGTACTCATTTGCCTTAATATTCCAATTAAGGGCTTAACTTGACAATCTTGGAAAAGGAGAAGGGTTTAAGAGACGCACTTGAAATTCGGGATGTTACACCTTGATTTCAAAAAAAAAGGAAAAAGAAGGAAAACAATGGTCTGATTTCAAGAATGATACTCGAATTTCAGTGGAAAAAACTATGATACTCAATTTTCAAGAATTAAACTCGGATTACAGAGCAAGAGAAAAAGAAAAACTTTACCTGCACAAGATGTCGGAGGCGAAGGCGGCACATGCGAAGCAGCCGAAGGCGGAGGCGAAGTCGGCGATGTCGGTGGCGTTGCAGATCGGACGGAGGCAAACGAGATCGGAGCTCGAGGAGAAAGGGGTGGAAGACAGAATTGGCGTCGAAGAGAAGAGACGTGCGTTCGTAAGAGAAGAAAAGAGAAAAAGCGTGTTTTATCCGGGGCACAATCCTCTTTTCTTTAATTCAGACATATATATATGTCTGATTTTTTAAGAGGTATTTATCTAATTAATAGGCATTTTATAAGTGGTTATCAAACACCTTACATCTGAATTTTTAAGGTTGGTGAGTGTGGTGCCACACTTGCCATAGTCAACGTAGGCACCATGTCATTTTTGTCACACTTTAGCCAAAACTTGTCATTTGTTAGGCGCGGGTTGCCACACTTGTCAAGCTAAATATATATTTTCTTTAATTAATTTAGAAAATAAATATTGCAAACATATTATTTTTTTAAAAACTTAAATTCCATTAAAACAAACATAGAAATTAAAAAAAAAAACATCACACAAGAAATTAAAAAAAACATATAAATTAAATATATCACAAGAACACTAGAAATTTAGAAACATCACACTAGAAATTCAAACACACAACCCACTAAAAATTAGAAGACAAAGACTTCAAATTTGACACCACTTGGGGCTCTGCTTCACAATTTGCCAAAATCAACAAGCTTGAAATCTTTTCCAGTTTCTACACGGTAAGCCTCAAGAGCATATTGTAGCAAAGTATTTTCGTTTCACCATTTCCGGCATCATGCATCACCTTACGAAACATAATAGTAAACCGAGTTGCGAGTGTGTGTGCGTTTCTCCATTTGGTGTATAGTATATCTTTTCTTCGTGGTTGAAGGGCTTGGCGGTTGTATATGTCGGCGACTCTGCTCCAAAAAGTAGTTGAAAGGTAGTCACTGTGGTGTGGACCTTCTGCTACATCAATCCATGAACGAACGAGTAAGATCTCTTCTTCGATCGACCAAACAATAACCATTTTTTTGTGATGAGGTGTAGAAAAAAATAGAAAAAATAAGAAAGTTAAGAGAATAGAATTAAGGAGATTTGAATAGGGTGAAGAGTGAATAATGATGATGGTATTTATAGTTGAAGATTGAGGGTTTAAAATTTGAAATTAAAAAAAAAACAGTTATATTTTTGAAATTAGGTATTTTTTGGAAAGAGGATAATTTTTGAAAAAGAGGTTTAAGTAATAAATGGGTTAAAAGAAAAAAAAAACTCTCTCTCATCGGTTCATCCTCGCCGAGTTGCCGAGCCGAGCTCTGCATGCCTCGGCCTCGGCCCGATGTTCGCCGAGTTCACCGAATGCAAACTGAATGCCACACCCGCCAGCCTCTTAATTTTCAATTAAGAGGTAAACAAACAGGACCTTAGTACTCTTTCGGTTCCATATTAATAGTCCATATTTTGTTTTTGGTTTGTTCCAAAATAATAACCTACTTTTAAAAATAAATATATTTTTTTTATCAATATATCCCCCATTATTAGTTAATCTACCATTAAATTAAATGCAACAAAACGATGAAATTAAATGCACCAAAATGATATAATTGTCATTTCAATTAATAAATTTAGAGATAGTTAATGTTTTCTTAATCTGTATGTTTTTTTTATGTGGATAATAATTTTTAGACGAATGGAATATTAGTTTTAAACCATTCAAAGTCCATGGTGTCGTGCAATTAAAGCCAAAACAAGTCAGTTGAAGCTTGATCTTGATCCGGTGCGATTTAAAAGGGCTTGTAGCCCAGTGGTATCAGGTGGTGTCTTTCCTCTTTGAGGTCGAGGGTTCAAGTCTCGTCGTGGACGCAAGTGGAATAGGTGTTGTTAGCTTAGGGGTAGATTAGATTTGCCGGTTTAAAAAAAAAAAAATATCCGGTGCGATTTATAAGTATATTTTGTCCGACCGGTCTTTTTGTGCACCTCTATATGCGCTTCCAAATCTTCTTTGACTGTCCCAATAAAAAGTACTAATTGAACTTGTTTATATCAAAGTTTGAACCGGCGAAACTATACAATTTACTTTTGGCTGTCTTCAGTTTTATGGAAAATTGTTTGAAAAATGTACGTTTATTTACTTTTTTTCGTTTCAGACAAAAGATTAATTATTATTGGACAAATTTTCAAAAAGCTGATCTTTTATTTGATTAAAAATTTAGACAGAGGTTTTTAACTTTTTATTTTTAAAATGCATTGTATGAAATAACACGAAAAATACATTCTTTAACTTGTTATCGAATTAAAAAACAAAGGGAATATATTAATATATTATCAAGAAATGTAAACGTGTTTTGTGTTTTTGTCATATTTTGTGGAAAAGTAAAAGTTAAGATAAAAATAATAATTCTTTGTGAGATTTGACACCCCACCCTGTTAAAAACAAAATCATTTTTTTACTTTGAAACACAATCTCACAATTTATAATTGCTTAGAAATACCAAAAGACAATAAGGGGTTTCAAAGAAAATTTGTAGTTGGATCCTATATCTATGCTTACATTTAAAATGTTAATCTAAAATTTAAAAAAGTTAATTTATAAACTTGTAAAATTATATTTGGAAAGATATTTAGAAACTTATAATTATGCGGGATCCATTTAATTAATCCGTTTATTTCTAACTAAGTTTAACAAATTCAAATACCCTAAAATTGCAATAAATTACAATATATATAGGTAAAAAAAATACATGGATGTATTGTATTTAAATCTTATAAAAAATCTCGGTATTATTTATGTTTGTGCAACAAGACTTGTTTAAAGGGTTGGCGTCTTTTCATGATAACAAACAGAATGCAACTGTCAATCAAAGTAATATATATATTAATTAAAGAACAATACGCTAGATTTGATGAAGCTGTTCGTCCCAGGTGATTACAAATATAACCTCTTTTTTTGACTTTTTTTTTTTCGTATAATATTACTAAGAAAACATGTCCCTAACTTTAAGCATAGAATCGGAATAGTTGGTTACTTTAATGATAAAAATGGTACGATAATTCCATGTGTTTATAACATTAGATGTGCTCAAACACTATTTAATACACTTTGATGAGAAAATGTTCCTGCTGTATCTATTACAATAATGTCTGGGAGATCTTCACCATATACTGCTTTATACAAACCTCTTTGACTATTCCCTCCTTTATTCTATGTTTTCATTTTGTCTTTCTTTACATTTAAACAGATACGAGCATGTACATATAAACATGTATGCTACATGCATGATGCCAAAAAAGATTATGAAAGCTGTTTTCTATTTTACTCTCATAAGCCAATTGATTTGCTATAAAAGGGAGGGGTGGTACTCCCTTTGGTACATCATTTTAAAAAGCATATAAAGTCATAAGATATACAGATGGGAGAACTTGTGTCTAATTTTCTTTCATCAACATGGGGAAGAGAGGATGCAGATTCTTCATGTTCATCAGTATCCACAGACAGAAAGATTAGACTATTCGGGTTTGAGCTTGATCCTCTTAAAAATGGCTCGATGCTAAGCAAAGAAGGATCATTGTCCACCACAATCTCTTGTGAGAAAGAGAAGTTCCCCATGGCGAATTCCAAAGAGACAAGGAAATTCGAGTGCCAGTATTGTTTCAAAGGGTTCGTAACCTCGCAAGCATTGGGTGGTCATCAGAACGCACATAAAAGAGAAAGAATGAAGAAGAAAAGGTTATTGTTACAAGCTACAAAGGCCAACATAAGTAGTTACCTCCAACCCTACGACCAAATAATCGATAATCATGGGATTAACATCAATTTCCATGGCTATAATGCTCGTGCATTTAACGAACCAAACATTAGTTTTGGTTTGTATGAAGATGATTTATTATCGTTTACGGATACAAACAGCTTTGGATACATGCATGCACGTAGGTCAAGAAGGATGCTTTCTTCTTTACCAAACGATTCAAAGCAATCTTGTAAAAGTTTGGACCTTCAGTTGGCTTTAAGCTCGTATGCCAGTGCCACCTTGTAATTGTTCATTCTCTTTTGGTAATCATTTCAACACCGGCTATCTTAACTAAGATAACATAATTTGGGAATAAGACCTTGATGTAGGGATCTTGGAGAGAAAAACTACTTACAAATATTTTTCTAGAATCCCTTCAATTTTTGTTCATCTTTATAGAAAATAAAATGCATCATTGATTATATATATATATAGATATATATATATATATATATATATATATATATATATATATATATATATATATATATATATATATAGGTAAAGTTATTTGGAAAACAAAAAAACCCTAAAAATCATAAAAATGGATAAAAAAAATACTTAGAGATCACAAAACTTTTTTTAAAATTTTTTTATAGAAAAATCGCAACTTTTAGTATAAAATCGCTGAAAAAAAAATCAATTTTTTTTAATAAAAAATTTGGTTTTTTTTCAAAAAAAATTTCAGCGATTTTATACTAAAAGCTGCGATTTTTTCATAAAAAAATTCAATTTTTTTTTTTGTGATCTCTAAGTATTTTTTTTAGATTTTTAGGGTTTTTGTTTTCCATAGAACCTAAACCTCTCTCTTATATATATATATATATATATATATATATATATATATATATATATATATATATATATATATATAGAGAGAGAGAGAGAGAGAGAGAGAGAACTTAAAGATTTACGTAAATCGTAGAACTTCTAATTCGCTCATATTTTTCAAAACAAAAACCACTATATTATTGGAAAAATTGCATCTAAGGCTGGTAGGTGACATGTCATACTTACCACACTTGCAATGTCATGTTATTTTTTTGTTTTACCCTACAAAATTGGTGGGTGTCATACTACACTTTTGTTTTTAATTAAATAAAATGTAATTAAATAAAAAACAATTTATTAATTTAATAAAAACGATTACATTCCTAAAAACCGACAAATAAATAAAAATACTTAAAAAGATTACATTTCTAAAAAATGACAAAAAAAAAACATAAAAACGATTACATTCATGAAAACGACAAATAAAGAGAACTACATAAAACGGAAAATTTTAAATAAAAGGGAAAATGACATATATGCCATATTAAGTTTCTGGGGTTTACCCATTTAACCACTTAACTTATTTTGTGGCTTTATGAGGGAACGAACTTGTAGACAACCTGTCTATTTAGTCCCCTAGACTTGTTTTAACAGGTTTCCTTGCCACATCTACACTATTTGCCACATCATTCAAGTCAACATTCAAACTTGGACCTTCATTTCTTTGGTTAACTACTTTGAAAGTCAACGAATGCTTCAATTCAACTTGCCACCGTACCAGCTCCTTCGGCGTCGACAAATATACCATCTGCATACTTACCGACTCCACTAAATACAATTTGATCACGGTATTTGGCACATCAACTTTTAAAATGTCATCTTCTTTAAGCTTAAGGTTACTCTTGCTTTTGAAAGATCTAGTATGCTCAAGATTCATATTAAAGTGATATTGCTAAATAACATATGATACTAATGGGTCACACTAACAACAACTTGATGCAATTGATTATTATTAGAAATTGATTTTAATAAATATTCAATAAAACTCTTATAATAAAATTGGAAATTGTTTATTTCATGGAAATAATAATTTTCATTAGCAAGTAACATAATATATCATATGGTATGATTGTACAACATTTTGGACTAGTTAAACTTTTTGTCTTTTAGGAAAAGACAAAGTTTATATCTTATAAACTTTGAGTTTATAAAATATAAACAAACTCTTCTTCTTTATGCAATTTTTGAGATTTGCATAAAAAGAAGAAGTGCATGACTTGTTTAATCATGCTTTAAAGGCATGAGAGACATGCTTATGAAAATGGGGACAAGTTTGCTTAAAGTGCTAAGGACTAATGGTTAATACCTTCACTTTTTGCATATAAATAAGAGGCTTGCATTCTTGAAAGTATGCTCATTCTCTTCTTTGATGCAAGGCCGAAACTTGTTTCTTCTCCATCACTCTCTCTAGTTTTGGTTAGAAAACTTGAAGTTACTTGCATCTTCAAGCCTTTTTTAAGTTCATATTGGTTATGAACTTAAAGCTTAAGGATTTAAGAGTTTTGGACTAGCATCTACATCAAGTTAAGTCATTGTTGGTGTCTCAAAGGTTCAACATTCTTCATCGACTTCCAAGCCTTCCAAGAGGACCCAAAGAACTATAAAGGTTTTTATTTCTTCACATCTTCTTTGGTTGGTGTTTTAATCTTTCTATAACTTGCAAGAAGATCCTTGGTGGGTATAAAATGTTTAAGTTATTTCAAAATTAAAGTCTTCCGTTGCCATATTTTTAAAGTTTATGAAACTATGTTTGAACTAAAACCCAACAATTGATATCAGAGCCACCTTGCAATTTTGGTTAGATTTTTTGATTTTTGGAAATCTTAGTTTTTGGAGAATATGAATAACTTGTTTTTATATAAAAATAAGTTCATACATATTTTCTATGACAACTTTTTTTTATGTTATGTGACAAAAGTTTTATGCATCTTTTGTCATTTAAAGTTGTCTTAGAAAAACAAATGTTGTTTGATGTACATATTGATGTATATGATATGCATAAACTAGTCAATGACTAATGTGTTGTTATGTTGTTGTGTTAGTTATTTTTGTTATAAAATGGTTATAATAATTTATTTATTCATATGATATGTAATAATTAAATAGATTAGCTTTTCTTGGTTATTTTTGTAAAGTAATAGATTAGTTTTTGGAATTAATTTATTTGTACAAAAATGTAACAAGAAATCAAGTTGGAACCATTTTTTGAAGACAAAAGAGCAATTTTCAAGTTTAAAAGGTGTGCAGGATTTTCAGTGACATTTTCTGAAAAGTGTCACTAATGTTGTTCACAAAGGGTTGTTGGCTTTTAGCGACAGTTGCTGAATTTTAGCCTTCAAGAAGTTTTTCCAATCTTTTGTAAGTAATGAGTGTTTACTCAAGTGAGAGCTTCTACAACAACATTACAAGAAGTTTTTGGTCCCCTTATATGTCCCTTTAAGAATGGACTTGACATTTTTGTGTTGGCTCACAAAAATGTCATTAGTTGGTTATGTTTATGCACATATCTTTTTTTTTATGTATGTTTGTGTTGTTTATTTTACGCATTATTTTGTGTGGTTGATAAAATTAGTTTTTCACATGCTAAAATAATTTTGGACAAAATAAACATCACATGGAGTTTGAGTTTTCAAAATTAGACATAAGATGTAACAAGTTATTATTTTAAAAAATAAAACCTGGTTTTATTAAATCGTTAATAACGGCAAATTTTGAAATACTCCAATATAAGTTATAAAATGATGATTTTTATAAATTATACAAACTCCAAATATATAAGTAATAAAATGAAGTTTTATTAAAGATGTAAAATGTCCAAATGCATTCAAACTTAATACCGGTTATTAAAATTGAATTGCGTCAAATTATATAAAAACTAGTTTTTTTATATAGAACCTTTAAAAGTGATTTTCTTTTGAAAGTTGATACCATGGTTTATTATATACATGTAATAATCATGATATCATATGTTTTTAAACTAGAATTATAAAACATATAAAAACTCTTTCGTTACAAACCTCAAATCTATGCAATCCTTTTGAAGAACACTCGCACGTCTCTTGTATGCATTAGTGGGATAAAGGATACCTAACCACTTAGTGTTATCTTTTGATAGCCGGGGTGTATTCGCAATTTCTATAACCAAGATATAGGTCGATTACACAAGTTTTTCAAATTGGACGATTTGATCAGAAATCTTTTGTGATAAATGATACCTAAGCAAGAGAGTTCTGAGGCATAGATGAGATCAAACATGTCTAATTAAATTTGTTATTAGCGATCCCATAAATCTAGGAATTATATGGTAAGATATAATTGATAATCGATATCTACCGAGTTGAATTCATATGGATTGGATAAAGGATACCTAAGTACCTAACCATTTATTTGTTTGCAACTTGGATCCTAGACTTTGATAATTAATGTTTTTTGAAACTAAAAGGGTATTAATTATTAAAGATTAATATTGAAAATACTAAATGAATTTTGTTAAAATTTTTGTAGTTAAGTAATCCATTCTCATTATCATGTATTGTCATTTTCTTTAATGACTTAATGAAACAATAACATTCAATAGATACAACTTCAATGAATGAGTTCATGTCTTAAGAGACAATCTCGTAAGAGATATGAAATTTTATACACTTAAAGGTCCTAGTCCTAAACGATTTGCTTTGAGCAATTAAACATGAACATGATACCTAGTAAAGGCATCACTATGATGCTTAAGATGTTTCTAACATCAAGCTAGAAATAGTTATTCATGACTTCTAGGAAGTCTTGGATAATTTAAACATATTTGATGATATAACAGGTCAAGCAATATTCCAATAAATACAGTGATATTTTATTTAAAGCTAGTTTAAACATTGGAATAATGCAAGGCTAAAAGAATCACCTTGTATGATCCAGGAGGCCCATCGTTTTATGGTCTGAACACCCTTAAGCCCAAGAAATCTACTAAAACCCACATAGATGGATCTTGTTTCTTTTGTGAAGAAATTAAATTTACTCCTCTTATTTGGAAAGAAAGTCTGGAAGAGACTAGTAATTCTTGTATCTACTAGATAGAACTCATACTTTTCATATAACACTTAGGTACTTGGTACATAAATGTTAATCTAATATTTGTAAATGGCTTGCAAATATTTATGGAAGAGTAACCAAGCTGAGCACAATCAAGTTGGAACTACACTCTAGGAGTTTAGTTTATTATTTATGCTTAAAACATAAATTACTTGTAATGTAAAACAATATTTGTTTTGAAACAAAATATGTTTTAATTTAGCATGCCTAAATTTATGTCTTAGTTATTTTATTCAAGTGTTTGATAATTTACGTAATCATTTTTCATAACGATAATATTCATTTTCTGAAATGATTAACTTCTATTTATGAGACCGGATCTCTTAATA